ATTAGTGATGTTGAGCATTTTTTCATGTATTTGTTGGTCATTTGTGTATCTTCTTTTGAGAATTGTCTATTCATGTCCTTCACCCACTTTCTGATAATAATTTTTTCTTACTAATTTGTTTGAGTTTCTTGTAGATTCTGGATATTAGTCCTCTGACAGTTGTATAGATTGTGAAGATTTTCTCCCACTCTGTGGGTTGACTGCTTACTCTGCTGACTGTTCCTTTTGCTGTGCAGAAGCTTTTTAGTTTAATTAAATTCCACCTATTTATCTTTGTTTTTGTTGCATTTGTTTTTGGGTTCTTGGTCATTAAGTCTCTGGGTAAGCCAATGTCTAGAAGAGTTTTTCTGATGTTATCTTCTAGAATTTTTATAGTTTCAGGTCTTAGATTTAAGTTCCTTGATCTATCTTGAGTATATTTTTGTGTAAGATGAGAGATGAAGATCCAGTTTCATTTTCCTACGTGTGGCTCACCAATTATCCCAGCAGTATTTGTTGAATAGGGTATTCTTTCCCCACTTTATGTTTTTGTTTGCTTCGTTAAAGATCAGTTGGCTATAAGTATGTGGGTTTATTTATGTGTTCTCTATTCTCTTCCATTGGTCTATGTGCCTGTTTTTATACCAGTACCATGCTGTTTTGGTGACTATGGCCTTATAGTATAGTTTGAAGTTAGGTAATGTGATGTCTCCAGATTTGTTCCTTTTGCTTAGTCTTGGTTTGGCTATGTGGGCTCTTTTTTGGTTCCATATAAATTTTAGGACTGTTTTTTTTAGTTCTGTGAAGAATTGTGGTGGCATTTTGATGGGAATTGCATTGAACGTATAGATTGCTGTTGACAGTATGGTCATTTTCACAATATTGATTCTACACATCTATAAGCATGCAGAATTACTATTATTAAAACATCAAAAAACAATACATGCTGGTAAGGCTGCAGAAAAAAAGGAATGCTTATACACTGTTGGTGGGAATATAAATGTGTTCAGCCACTCTGGAAATCCGTATGGAGATTTCTCAAAAAACTTAAAACAGAACTACCGTTTGACCTAGCAATTCCATTACTGAGAATCTATACAAAAGAAGATCAGTTTTTCTACAAAAAGATAAATGCACTCATGTATTCATCGCAGCACTATTCACAAAAGCAAAGACATGGAATCAGTCTAGGTGCCCATCTGCGGTAGACTGGATAAAGAAAATGTGGTATATACATACCACAGCATACTATGTAGCCATAAAAAAAGAATGAAATAATGTCCTTTGCAGCAACATGGATACATCTGGAGGCTATTATCCTAAACAAAATAACACAGGAAAGGAAAACTAAATACTGCATAGTCTCATTTATAAGTGAGAGCTTATAAAGATGGGAACAATAGAAACTAGGCCTATTGGCAATGGGAGAAGGCTTAAAAAACTAACTGTTGGGTCCTATGTTCAGTATCTGGGTAAGGGGATCTGTCGTACCCCAAACCTCAGCATCACACAATATATTCACGTAACAAACCTACATATGTACCTCATGAATCTAAAATAAATGTTGAAATTATTTTTTAAAATTTCAGGAATACAAAAGAAACATAGAAAGCAAATCAAACGTGTATATGCTTACTACCAACTAGCTATAACCATATGTTGACATTTTCCAGTATTTCTCTGCTCTTGTTTAAAGACATTACACGTTACACATAAAATAGTATTTTGCTTTGTATTTCCCAATCCCATCCCACTCCTTTTTTGTCCTTTGGAGATGAACACTATTCTAATATTGGTGAGTTTGAAATATTTTCACATATGATCAATGAACGCTTGAGTTTTATGTTCTGTGAATTGCGTGTCAGTCTTTTGTGTGTGTTTCTCTTGGTTTGCTTGTCTATTGCTTATTAACTTATAGAAAAATCTAAAAATATTGTGGATACTAATCCTTTTTTGGTTATGTGGATTTCATAGATTAATTCCCCCTTTGATGACACATCTTTTTTGTTATATTGAAGTTTTCTAATGCATACTATGATATATATAGCTATTACTTCTATAAAATTGACTTTTACAAATGTATTCTAGCTTGGGCAACCTGGGCAACATAGTGAGACCCTATCTCTACATTTTTTTTTAATTAGCTGGGTGTAGTGGTATGTGTCTATAGTCACACCTACTTAGGAGGTTAAGGTGGTTAGAGTGAGCCCAGGAATTGGAAGTTAGAGTGAACTATGATAGCTCCCCTGCATTCCAGCCTTGGTGACACAGCAAAATCCTATCTCTATTTTTTTTTAAAAAATGTGTCTACTGCCTATCCTTTCCTGAATAGTGCACTTGCTCCACTAGATATCAAAAATTGTGTGATTATCCATGAAACATTCTGTTTACTTGGGAGAGGCAAATTCTAGAAAGCAAATGTTAGATGAAGGCAAGTAAGACTCTTCCAAACTGAATTTTTAACTAGGTTTTATATAGTATGATATATTTTGGGGGTCACTGTTTTTTTGTTGTTGTTGTTTGCTTGTTTTTTGCTTTATAAAAAAACATATTAACCTGAGTTTGGCATTGTATAAGTAAAACAATATATAACCACATACTTGTTCATAACTTTAGCTTATCAACTCTGTTAGATATGCTCTAGTTTTAAAACTTGGTCCTCCGGGATCACTAGGAGCTAAATTGGTTCTCAATTGTATTTCCCCGTGAGTAGTTTTCTAATGACTTTTCTTTGTCTAATCTCTGCTTTCCATCTTCCTCCCATAGGGCTCTTTCAGTTCTTTTAAATTTTTCATCATCATTATCTTTATTTTACCTAAAGGCTAAGATTGAAACTTTTTATTGTACCATGTAATTACCCATGCATAACATTTTTTTTTTTTTTTTTGGACAAAGTTTTGTTCTGTCACCCAGACTGGAGTGCAGTGGCGCAATCTCGGCTCACTGCAACCTCCGCCTCTTGGGTTCAAGTGATTCTGCTGTCTCAGCCTCCTGAGTAACTGGCATTACAGAGACCCACCACCATGCCTGACTTATTTTGTATTTTTAGTAGAGACGGGGTTTTATCATGTTAACCAGGCTGGTCTCAAACTCCTGACTTTAGGGAATCCACCTGCCTCAGTCTCCCAAAGTGCTGAGATTACAGGCATGAGCCACCATGCCTGGCCCCATGCATAACTTTATAATCAATCTTACTAGACTTCACCAGGTTCAGTTTCCTACTCCTCACACTCCTGAACCAAACTGCTCTGCTCTCATGAGTCCTAA